TCAATAAAGCTATCTTGAACAGTTTGACGGGTATGCCACTCGCATGGCATAAATTCTTACCAATCCTGAAACTAATCCCATATAGCCTAAATAAGCTAGTTTGATCCATATAATGTAGACATTTACACTAGGCCACTTATGCAATCGGCAAAATATACTCTTGGACTCTTCGTAGTTTGATTATGGTCCGTATATTATAGTATCACCTGATTCTAATTGGCCGCCACTAGTGCATTAATAAAGAGATTCATTTTTGGAAAGTAAATAATTCGCTTCATTTTCCCGCAGTATCGGGGGCGAATTAGCACCACAAATTTGCGATCTTCTAGCCTACAAAATCACAATTTCATCCGTGAAGTGCTGGTAATGAGGTGGATTCCTCTGGAATCAAATCCTGATGTTATGAACAATGTAGTGCTCCGTTTTGTTTTACCTATTAGTTTATTCGTGAACTAGGTGTCAAAGAACCCATGCGTTTTGTTGATGTATTCGGTACGGATCTGGAGATGCAGGCTCTCGTTCCTGGGCCGATTTTGTCACTGTTGTTACTTTATCCGCTCACCGAAAACGCGAAAAAGCATCCGATTGGAACTCTCTCAGTGAATGAGAAGTGCTTTTTTATGAAACAGACCATACCCAACGCATGTGGAACGGTTGCCATTCTTCATGCACTTGCCAACAACGTAGATGCATTGGATTTAAGATGTAGGTTGCCTCTTTTCTCAAGTCTTTACATTTCTGTGCCTGTATGTCACACATCTTAATTGGTTGTGCTTTGTGTAACTCTGATTTTCGCGCTGCTGAGTTTCACATAGTGAACACGATTGCAAAATTTAGTAACTAGTTTATTTAATGCATGAAATTAATGCAGAACTCCTCTACAGTGCCTTAGTCGATAGGACTCCTAATCTTATAGCCCTCCCATGGCTTCGAAAGTTTCTTGAGAAGGCACACAATAGCACTCCTAAGGAGCGTGCGGAAATCTTGGAAAACGAAGAGGAACTAAGTGAGGTTCATGAAAATTGTGCGCACCAAGGTCAAACAGATGTAGGTACGCTTTTCCAATAATTACCTTAGGCTCCTGATCCGGACTCCCAAATCAATTTACATTTTGTCGCTTTTGTGAATTCCGATGGCCATCTCATTGAGCTTGGTAAGTCCTGTTGGATCTTGTTGCCTAGTTTCTTGTATTGATTTGGTTCATTCTAATGTAATCAATCTACGCACCTATCCTTTATTGCAGATGGGCGTCGCGAAGGCCCAATACTACACGGAAATACCTCTCCAGATACATTCTTAGCCGACGCTTGCAAAGTTGTAGAGCAATTCATGCATCGGGATCCGGATAATGTTAATTTTAGTCTCATGGCTTTAACTAACGTTGGAGGTTAATTTTTAACTGTTCATCTTGATGACTTAATTATCACAGCGCAATGTCTTCCTTAAAGTGTTAACTAAATTTGTATCTTCTTCCATCTTAATATAACTCATTTCTGAAAACATATCATTTTCATATGTAAGTATTATTAATAAGGTATTTCAGTTGGTGTACTTTGTTTTTTTTCCAACACATCAAATGTCACCGTCCAGCGTGATCGTGTGAGTGAAACTTGACGTTTCTTCGTTGAGTTATTAGGCACTGTAAAACCCGCCATCAGGTTGTCGAGAGTATCCACCA